GATTTGTTGTTTGATGGTCATTTCTAGTCAGATCTCAAAAGTCTTATTCCGTGGAAAAAGTCTTCTACTGAAAAAAAAAAAAAAAACCAAAACAAACTTGTCACTGGAAACTAAAACCCAAACATCCTGAAATTATTTTTATTGCCATCCTGTGAACAATCTCAGAAGAGTCTCCAGCAATGAAAGACACAAATAGCTCAACCTCCTGATGCTGAGGAGTGTAGGGACACCTGCCTTCCAGTGGGAGAAAGGGAGACCTCAGCAGTAAAGTGGATGTACGAGCTGTCTAGGGATGATTGGTTCATTTAAAAATCCTGAAGAAAGAAATCTTGCTTCTAAAGAAAGTCTCTATTCGATCCCTTTGTCCTGTTAGTGTAATCTGAAGGTATTTGGGCTCCACCTGATCTTTCTGCTGACACCATCTGTCATGATGTGGAGGCCAGAACTCAGAGTACAGATCTGCAATTTGATTTCCCATAGCGAAGTGGCGTATTTATGAATTAATGACACCGTTTGATTATTAACTCTCAGCTGGCAATGGCTCCTTGGAAAGGTGTGCTTAATAATTCATCCCATTTTGATGTTTCAGTGGCTGCTCCAATAAAAGGTGTCTTTCCGTATTCATAGCTACAAAGTCCCTTGTGCAGTTCATTCGAAGCTGTTTGGTGTGCAGCCCAACATCCTTGCAAATACACAGGGGTAGAGATTTCACATCCTTATGGGCCTTTATCCCATTAAGTAAAAATACAGAGAAATTTTCCTTTTATTGCTACTGTGCTGTAGAGAGGTTACAGTTTGTCCCTGAAGTGTGCAATTGCAAAATCACGTATTAAACACGATTAGATTAGTGTTACTGTGCATCTAAGCTCTTGCAGAATATCAAGTTAATTTGTGGTGATGTTGCCATACACCCTCAATGTACAAGGTCTAGCTTTGAGTATTCCCAAAATGAAGAGTCATGTTTCAGGAATGCAATAAATCAATAGATGTCTGGTTTATCAGCTTGCTTCTTCTTGTGATGGATGGCAAAAGGTGCGTTAAGTGTCAGCCCCCAACTGGCATGCTGTGAACATGCTCTCTTCTAATGTGGTGAGATAAACCCAGTACGGGCTGGGGTGCTTGAAACTCCAAGGAGCTTAATTGTGCTTTGCACCTGGATGCTGGCACAGAGAGCACTGCATGTCTTTGTTCCAAGCCTCTTTGCGCCATCTCTGCTCCCCTCTGCCAACTCTCTTGTCCCCGTTTTTGCTTCTCTCTCTGGGGATCCCAGAGAGGCAATTCCAAAGACTCCGGGGAAGAGAAGGCTGTCTCATGACACATTATGGATTCAGGTGTTGTGCCTCTATTCTAGTGGTCCCTACTACCTTATTACAGGATCATAGAATCGTTTAGGTTGGAAAAGACCTCTAAGATCATAGAGTCCAACAGTTAACCTAACCCTGCCATCCCACCACTAAACCATGTCCCTAACCACATCTACCCATCTTTTAAGTACCTCCAGGGATGGGGACTCCACCACTTCCCTGGGCAGCCTGGCCAATGCTTGACAACCCTTTCTGTGAAGAAAGTTTTCCCAGCATCCAATCTAAACATCCCTTGGAGCAACTTGAGGCCATTTTCCCTCATCCTATCACCTGTTACTTGGCAGAAGAGATGGACCCCCACCTCGCTACCCCCTCCTGTCAGGCAGTTGTAGAGAGTGATAAGGTCGCCCCTCAGCCTCCTCTTCTCCAGGCTGAGCACCCCCAGCTCCCCCAGCCGCTCCCCATCAGCCTTGGACTCCAGACCCCTCACCAGCTTTGTTGCCCTTATCTGAACATGCTCCAGCCCCTCAATGTCCTTCTTGGAGTGAGGCATGGAACACAGGATTCGAGGTGCAGCCTCGCCAGTGCTGAGCACAGGGGGACGATCACTTCCCTGCTCCTGCTGGCCACACTATTCCTGATACAAGCCAGGATGCTGCTGGCCTTCTTGGGCACCTGGGCACACTGCTGGCTCGTATCAGCTGGCTGTCGATGAACACCCCCAGGTCCTTTTCCACCAGGCAGCTTTCCAGCCGTTCTCCACACTTGTAGCATTGCATGGGGTTGTTATGTTTTAATGCAGATAGATAGAGTTGACTTGTGGAAGGCCTGTCATGTTTACCTGGCACAACTGATTTTTTTCCTGGATGCTGAACACCTTGGGTTTGGTTGGTGGGTTTTCTTCAATTTTCACAGCTTTTTCCATGCATTTCAGATGGCTTTCCCATTTGCAGAAGAGCTGTGCGATCCAGTGGAAGGATGCTGTTTTGAGAGGGACACAGACATGTATTGCAACTGATTGTGTAGCCCAGATGATTTACCTTTAATGTCTGAGAACGCTACAAAATGTCCCTGGCTGCCCCAGTTTACCAGAGTGCATGTTCTTTGTAGGAATTTATTGGAAGGTGTCAGCATGCTTTGCTCCAGAGGCTCTCCTGTGTGAAAAAGCTCAACCCCAATACCAAAGGCAGCTCACCCTGTACGGCCACACTCGAGTGCAGTGGCTGACAAGGCACTGGCCACAACCAGATGAAGGTGAAAGAATATTCCTGCCCAAAGCAGGTGGAAAGCACAGGTGCGAGGAAAGGCTGAGAGTTTTTGGAAGTACTCTCTAGCCACCGAGCAGTATATGCTTTTTTTTTTTTAGTAAGTGTAGCCTCTAGCAACACCTAATTTTCATAGCATCAGTTTACCATTATCAGATCTGAGGGCCAGTTGCTTAGATCTTTGCAAGAATTGACTGTGCAATTAAGAAATGGTGGAGAAGGCTAAAGCAGTCACAAAATTACACAGGGCATGAGCTGAATGCCTGAAATGAGTTTTCAAAGACCCCTTAATTTTGGCCTGCTCTTAAGGGAAAAGTCAGACTTTGCAAACTGATTTTCTTCGGCAGAGGGCTTGCGTGGGCTGGGTTTGGATGCAATGGCAAAAAAAAAAAAAAAAAAAATGTAGCCAGGCCAAGGCTGAGTGTGTAAAGGTGCCCACACCACTTAAAAATTTATCTTGGTGATGCTTCACTGCTTTTAGAGGAGTTGACGTAACATTTCTGAATCTGAATATTGAAACTGCATCAGACTGTCCCAGAAATGAGGAAACGGTATCAGCCATGGTGGGAATTTCATCCCAAGGTGTGGCAGGAAGAGTCTGAGCGGAATGACCCTTGGTCCTGGCAGTGTCCAGCTGGCTCTGGGCTAGGGGAAACTGTGTGGGGAGTTTGCAGAACTGAGGAGTTTCACAGGAACCTGAGGGCTGGCACAGTGACACCTGCCAGGCACAGGAATTCCTGTTTGTATGGATTTGGATGGTCTGTCAGGTTAAGTGTCGTCCTCCCCATCATTCTGTGTGCCTCCTTCAGCCATTTGCTTTGACATCTGCTTTAAGGTATGAGCAAAGAGAACTTGCTGTGAAGTAAAGCAGAGTTGGAGCTCCGCCTCATCAGCCACCCCACAGGAATCTCCCATGGCATCTGGCAAACATGAGGGAATTTACATTTCCATGAAAACCTCCCTAAGGGACATAGGGACTAAAAACCAAGCAGCAAACTTTTTGTATTTCTCTTGCTTAACGCTGGTAACCAGAGCACACCCTGCAGATGGGGAGGTGGCTTTCAGCCTTTCCAGCCCCCACAGAGAATACTAGGGCCTCCCAGCTGCTGGACAAGTGGTTCCACCGCTGAGCTGTGACACCACAGCCGTGTCCTCCTGCCCAAGGAGATGAGCACAGTCCTTTGTCAGGCGCGTGGCACTACCAAAGGTGGTGCACAGCGCCCAAAGGCTGCTCTTCAGAGGACCACTGGTGGCACCAGGAGAGGACGTGCCGCTGGGGCCAGGCCAGTTCTGCTTCTGTGCATGGCTGCAGCTCTTGGTGGCTGAAGACCTTAAACGGGCAGAGAGCCCAAGTTGAGATGGCGCTTAAGTGCTGCATTGTACCCCATCATGTCTGGACGCAGACACCTCGGTTCTGTCCCCACCCTGCTTGGAGGTAGGTGTTGTACCCAGAACACCGCTTAAGTGGTGTTTCTAGTAACACATCCATATACATGCATATATATCGTTATAGAGGTATTTAAAAGCATGATCTAAGTAAATGAGGTTTCTGTACAGGAGAACTTGTCCAAGACTGACACCTGCTGAGCCACAGGCAGTGGTGGCTTGCATTTCAGAGCACCAACCATGGATCCTAATGTGCCTAGGGGTCCCTGCGCCACCAACGGCAGAGCTCGCTCTGAAAATCCACAGACGCACCGCCTCGGGGAAGGGTGGTCTGAGGCACAGCTCCTGGAGAGAAACAGCTGCTGGCTCCTCCGTGGGGGACCAGCACCTACTCTGGTTTTGCTTCAACACTTGATGGCTCTTTCTGCGCTGGGGACAGCCAGCATCTGATTCTGCCATCTTCCAGGAGAAAGAGTCACTTCACAGAAAAGTAAAGCAGGTGCAAAATACAGAAAATAATAACCCACCTAACCCTCACCAAAGTAATTTTGAAAGCAGCAAAGCAGTGGAAAGTCAATTTGCCTCCTTTTTTTTTTCCACAGCAGTTAGATGGAACATTTATGAACGAACCAAAGGAGGAGGAAATGGATTTTGCTAGAAGTTGCTGGGGTTGTGGTCTGGCAAGACTGAATTCACAGTGGGTTCAAGTGCCGATGTTACCATCACCCCGACAAAGGTAGGTGAGAAAAGGCTGGATGAAATGCTTCTGCCCAGATAATACAGGAAACGGTGAGACTTGGAGGTTTTCAAAAGACAGGATGATTCAAACCTGTCCTCACGTTCATCTGACCTTTGCTAAGGCTGCAGCTTTCTTTTTAAAGGAACAGTTATCAGCCACCTTTGGAAGTTGTTCAAGTCAGTTAAGGGTAACACAAAAAAAACCAACCCCAAACCCACAAAACCTCAGACCATGATTTTATTTTTTGTCAGTGACAGACATTTGCCTCATGTCAGCCAGATGTGCAAAAAATACCAAAACCAACCCAAAACCCCAAAAACCGAACCCAAAACTGATGGACAGGATCCCTCAACTGTGAGAGAGGAGGGGCTGCTAACCGAGTCCGTGATGCCCTGGACTAGAGGCTTGGGAAGGAAATATTCCACTGAAGGGAATTCACCCATTACATGCACCCATTACATCGAAAAATAGCATTTAGTTAAAAAAAAATATCATTATCCCTTTTAGTTAGGTACATTCTTGCTTCTGCTGTGACACGTGCTGCCATACTGACAGGACAGCTCAGGGACAAGAACAGAAACGCTCCCTGTTCCCAAGAATCCTGCTTTTCTTGGCCTTGGCCCTGCTATGCCCTACCTCTCCCAGACGGTCTCATCCCCCTTCTACAGCTGCAACGACCTTACCCTTACAGCCAGCACGTTTCAGGTACTGCCTTCCAAAAAGGGTGTAGCTGGCTTTGGTCAGCAGCTCGGTGTGCTGGGGCAAGGAGAGCAGAGATAGTCCCAAAGGCACCAACGGCTGTGGAAGTGGGAGACCTCTGCTCACTGCCCCCATTGGTGTCACTGGGAACTGGTTGGGGTCAGCGTATTTAATTGGTGTGAGACCAGCAGACAGGACTGCAAAGGCATCACTTCCCTTGCTAAAGGAGGCACTCCCAAAAGCTGCTGCAGCACATGGTTACTATGTGGTGTTTTAGCCTGAGGTCTTTTGTTTAACTTTTGTTATCAAAATGTATTTTATTCTCAACAGGGTAGTTAGAACGCTATGGATATCCCCAATTAACGTTTCCATTTTCCCCTGCGGTCACAGAAAGTCATTTCAGCTCGCTTCATCTGTCATCGGTTAGAGGCCAGGAAATTTTACTTCAAGGTTTGTGAAAAATTGCTTTTTACAAAAGGAGACATTTCTGACTAGAGAAACATCTCTGCTGAAAGGAGCAAGAGGTCCAAGGTGAAATATATTTCAAATCTGCTTCAGCACAAAAACTCTGTGGTTAACTGAATTAAGAAAACTAGAATCTTTTTTTATGCCAGGTAGAGCAGATGGTGTCAAAATTCCTCTTCAGCTTGCCTGGAGTGAGAGCATTTCAGTTCCAGCAGCCTCTTCACAGTGTCTGCAATTGTACGCTCACCATGCACCTTGTTATCTCGGGTGCGGATGTTGACTGTTCCACTCGCCTTCTCCTTCTCACCGACAACTAGAAAGAGCCACAACGTCAAAATGAGAAACAAACACAGAGTACTCCACGGGGAAAGATCAGAAAGACAACTTGACTGTAAATAACTAATAGTGATTTCTTTTCAGAGACAGCAGGACGGTTTACTGGAAAATCTCAAAGCTACTTTACTTAAACATTAAGACACAGATATGAAGATAACATATGTATGTCTCATTACTAATGTAAGTTTTATATAACATACTTTGAGGCTGCTACAGGAGACTGTATTTCTCCGGTACCCAATCTACATTCAGTGGGACAAGAACTTGAAACAACCTCTGAACATAAATTAGGTGAGATTTTTTCCCTGATGGGCTGATCACTTGTTTGTGGTCTGGAAGGTAAAATGTGGTTGTCTTATCTGTATCAGACGCTTGATTAAAGTTCTTGTGTTCTTTAAAACTTCATGGTTCTACCCATTACTCTCAGCATGGAGTTCCTCTATCAAAGGCTCCTTCTAACTCTAGTGGATGGTGGGTAGCTTTAGGATCAATGCTAGAGCTTGAGTTTACATGACCTGACTAACACGGTGCTTCAAATCACATACTTCAGGGTCAAATTGTCCCTGCACCAACCTCTCGTGGCAGCGTCTTCCCCTATGCATGCATGTGTAGCTCAGAAATGCACCACAGGTGAATGCAGTGAAAATATGGTACTACTTCTGTCACGCTTGAAACAAGAGCATAAATTATTGGGAGTGGAATGGAAGAATTGCTTATTTGTCCAAGGGTAAAGAGATTTCATATATGTCTCCACATTGCTGCCCAGAGGACAGTGAAGACCTTTTTCTAAAGCAGCAGTGATGCCTTGGGCCACAGCGACCTCCTTTTGGTGGCTGCTACAAGAGCCAGGAGTGCCTATGATGCAGTGTCCTGGTTTCGGCTGGGATAGAGTTACTTTTCTTCATAGTAGCTAGCATAGTGCTGTGTTTTGGATTTAGTACCAGAAGAATGCTGATAACACACTGATGTTTTCAGCTGTTGCCAAGCAGTGCTCAGACTACTCAAGGACTTTTTGAGCTTCTCCTGCTCGGCCAGGTGCATAACAAGCTGGGAGTACAGCACAGCCAGGACAGCTAACCCAAACTGACCAAAGAGCTATTCCATACCATAGAACGTCATGCTCGGGGGGCAGTCGGTTGCTCGGGGACTGATCGCGGCTCGGGGAGTGATCGCTACTTGGGACGGCCTGGGCATCGCTGAGCAATTGCGTTGTGCATCGTTTGTTTTGTATATTCTGTTACCATTCTCATTATTATTATTATTTTCTCTTATTAAACTGTCTTTATCTCAGCCCATGGCTCTAACTTTTTTTTTCCTTCCCGATTCTCTCCTCCATCCCACTGAGGGAGGGGGCAGTGAGCGAGCGGCTGCGTGGTGCTGAGTTGCCAGCTGGGTTAAACCACGACATGCAGGCAGGAGAGGCTCTCTGGAATGGAGACTAGTAGGAGCAAAGTGACCTAAAACGCTGACTACCACCCTCTGCCAGAAGATAAAATGCTACGACCTACGCAAGAAAGTCAGCCAGGATAAGGTAATAAATGCACTATACGTTACCCAGAATAAAGTTATACTGTGCAAGCTGAGCATTTCTTATCTTCTTGTTTAGCGTGCACCCAGGATCTACATCAACATCTGCCATTAATCCAGCATCGTGGAACTGCTGCCTGACCTAGGAGAAGAAGTACTTAAACTGTCACTATAGGATATTCATGACAACAAACTATTTATGACTTGTAGACTTAAACCAGTCAAGCTTATCTGAACAAAGGCACCATCATTGGCTCAGGCGTTGGGAGATGAGCCCAGTTCAAGAAATGGAAACTGGTCAGCTATCATGCAAGTACATACACACTAAATAGCTGAGCAGTGATGTGAATATCTAATGTTTTGGGCTGAAGAGTGATTTGAGCTTGATAGTGTGAAAGGCAGCAGGATGGGGGAGCTTTCCAATTAGAAGATTTTTTTTTTTTTTTTAATTTTGCAGACTATTTTATTTATGTGTAATGTGCTTGAAAGAAATACAGGAGAAGGTCTGCTGGCTGCTAAATATGCAAATCTTTCTTACTGCTTTTGCAGGATGCCCATGGCCATGGGAGACCAGAACCTAAAGGGTAAGACAGCTTTTGAGCTAGAGAGAAAAAATAAGTTTTCCAAAAAGAAAAGCCTCACAAAGATCAGCATTTGCTGTTTAGATACCCAAAATTTATTTCAGGTTCTCTTTAAGATGCATCTACAGTTTCAGCAGCTAATTGCCATTCTAATATAAAAATGATACAATGTAATATGCAAAGACTTGTAACATTTATCTGGGATAAATACTATTAATCATTAATAACCAAGTATCTCAACCGAATACAATATACTGAACAAAAAGCCCCAAAACCATACACATCACCTTTTGGGCATACTCATCGCACGTTGGTCCCACTGGTACCACCATTACCTGCTGTGGGGACAGCCAGAGCGGCCTTCAATAAACAAACAAAACAAGTTTATATAGCTTTCGGTATTTTCTCAGCATGAAAAATCCTCTTAACAGATAGGACTAAAATCTGCACAACAGATTCATAAACCCAGATGCTTAGTTTGGGTTCAGAGGCAACGACAGCCTTAGACTCATTACAGTTTTTCTCCCAAAAAGCACTGAGCGTCTAAGAGAATTACAGCATGGACAGAAGTAGGTTATTACTTATTACTAACTATTCATGGGAAAACATTTACTTTTGAGTCTTCTTGGAACAAGAGGGGTCATCCCCACCAGGTATAGAAGACAACCTACATAAATGTCTCGTTGCAAGGCAGCCCAGCTGCAAAAGCCAAGTGGAGAGATACACCTGAGGTAAGACAAGCTGTACGCTGCACCTGCACGAGCAGTATCATGTGTAAAGGCTACCACATCCAGGATTATTTAATGCCTAAGGAAGGTGGTTCAGAAGGAATTGCCCTATGGTACACCTACAGCACTTCACTGCAGCAAGTGAGTAGAACAAACCCTCTTGATTCTTGCATGCTTGGGGCTAATTTCTTTTCTACACGAAGTGTTTGCTCAAACTGGAATAGTAAATCTCCTTTTCAACATTACCATTTGCCTCCATAGTTTTCAGTTAGAATGGCGATCATTCTCTCCACAGATCCCAAGATAGCCCGGTGAATGATAACTGGCCTTGTCTTGTCATTACCATCATGGCTGTGAAGAAAGGATTGAATTTTTTTTTAAATGGAGGAGTTTTTTCTTGATGTAAACTGATGCCTGTTAGTGACGTGAAAGTTAGATTACATAGCAATTAAAACCACTGGCCTCTCTGCTTACCTGACAAAAGTGAGGTTAAATCTGACTGGCAGCTGGAAGTCGAGCTGGATCGTAGCACATTGGTGGTAGCGGCCAATGGCATCTTTAATCTGAATGTCAATCTTCGGAACAAAAAGACACAAACTTTTACTGAGTTTAAGATACAAGCATGCCCCTCTGAAAGGAAGCTCATTGTTGTAAGATGGAAGATTTCACTCAATGCAGAGAAACTATATGTGGGTTTAGACAACATACTTTTAATTCAGCCCATATTAGGACTTAAATGATTTTCAGGTTCTGATGCAAAAAACGTTAGAGCTAAAACCAGGGTGAGCAAGTAGAGAGACACTACTTCAGAGGGGAACTACTTTTAATACCTCAGACTATTTTTTGTGAGTTTCACTCTGGGACTTCCATGGGCCTTTTCACTGAGTGAATTCAGCAGCACAAAAGTGCAAGTTCAAGATCAGAACTGAACATATCTTGCCAAAAAAGAAATTTCTTCAACGTCAAACTAGCAAACTCACACTCCTTCATTATGCAGTATTTGAATACTTTGTAGCTACAAATTCAGGGCATGAACATGGGATGAGAATCCTACTGTTAAATAATCCACTTACCAGTAAGGATCATATTAATAAATGACACTTGTTCTGACTATGAGGATCTACAGTCAAGCCTATTCTCTCCATTACACTCTAATCCTGAGTATGCTTATGATACACATTAGAGAGACAGATAGAAAGCAGTAGATTTATAGTGTCCTGACCTTACTTATTCATCATTTTACCAGTATGGCTATATTTTGGAGCTGTGTGCCTTATTTTACCTTATGTATCGAACAAACTGATGGGTGTTTTATTAACTGCAGTTCCAAATGTCTTTCAGTTTTGCATTCAGAAGCTAGAGTTTATCACAGTTCATCTACTCACCAAAGAGCTTCTATCAAAATAATTATTTACAACCTTCTTTAATTTTAAATCACCCAGATACAGAGCAGGGAAGAAAAAATCCAAGCAGTTTAAAAGTACCGTAGACATAGATATCAACTTAAAAAAATGTAATTTTAATAGTTTCCATTAAAACCAGTGCAAAACGCTACATGTTTGCTCACCTTACTTTGTCTAGAGTGTATTAGGAGCAAGTACAGGATTAATTAAGGTTAACAGAGGTTCCTGTAGATATTTGCCTTCTTTCAAATCAACTGAGGAAATTACTAAATCTTGTTTACATTTCACATTATGAATGATTAGCTGCTGTAACACATTTCACCTACAACTCATAAAATGAAATTGATTCAATTAGCATACAAAGAGAGAAATCAGAACCAGTTTACTAGATGACTGAATATAAACATAAATGTAGTTAGGTTTATTAGGGAAAAATTTACAAGTAATGTTGTAAGGTTCTCTGTCCTTCTACTCAAAGATATAAGGAAATTTCTAGAAAGTCCTACTTAATCCGTGCAAACTGAAGAGACAGCTTTAAAAAAACCCAACAAAACCACAAAACCAATGCATGGGGCTTTTTAAAATACCAAACCCCATCAGCAACTCAATGCTGCTACAAAATTGCCAGTAAAAACAACATTTTTCAAAAACATGTTTTACCACTAAGGTTTTTTTTGTTTTTCCATTGACTTAGGATTCACTTATCACCCAAAGAATTATTTTTAATGCAGCAGTTGCTGTGGTAATACAGATCTTACAGTGCCACCTTCTGTTCATGTCTCCCACTAAGCCAGTCAGCTCTGTTTCAGCAGCAGCCAACCAGTTTACAAAAGTAAAACAGGTTTACTTAATGAAATGGGTGTTAAAGCTATGTGAAAACCAGAATCACATTGTATTATTTCTCTCTCAAGTACGTCAGCATTTACATATCTGGAAAAAACACAAAATTTCAGCTGTACAGCATCTTAATGGTACTGATGGTATTAGATAACTATTAAAAAAAATCCTCTCTTCCTAATCCCAGCTCTTAACAATCTCAGCTTGTACCAGGTTATTGGTTCTATATCCTCCAGCCACGCCTAAACAGCACCAATGCTTTAGAAATGCATACTGACATTGAAAAATTTAGTTATAGTATCACATTGGAAAGGAACGTGCAGGTCAGTAAGTGAAAGATAAAACTTGTCTTTACCAAGAAGAACATGAATAAAACCCAAGAGCATCACCACACTATCCTCTCCTTTGCTCACAATAAAAACTTTCTTAATGTATTAACAGCATTTAGTGTCCACCTGTATTTATTTTAATTAACATAGAGCAGCATGTTAACTGGATGGATACTTTCTCTTGGTCAGGTATCTATTTGAAGTAATCTGGCAAACATTCTGCACAAACAGATGCCCAACACACGTCTTTCTGAGGAAAGTGACATTTAGCATCATTTTGTAAACACATTGAAAACTTTTGGGTTTTTTCTGCTCATATGCTATACTACAAGGAACAGTATTTGCATGCTGCCCCTACTACCAAGATTACAGTAGTATCAATGGGAAGCAAGGAATTGTGTAATTTTCACCTGCCTCATCCAAACAAAATCAAAAGCCTAACCCAGCTAGGGGTTAGCAACATACTAACCTTAGGCCCATAGAAAGCTCCATCGCCAGGGTTTAACTCCCACTTCTCACCAAAGTCATTGAGGCTGTTTTCAAGTTGCTAGGGATGAAGGATACACACACTCAGTGTTTCTCAATCATTTGCTGTCTTTCCATATTACAGCATCAGGTCAGCCTGCTGCTACAGATACGTGACACTACCAATTCTCAGTACTTCTCAGTTACTGCTGCAACTCAATTCCTTTCTGAAAAAGGAAATTTTTGGAAGAGCCCCAGCTAAAAAAAATTAGTCCAAATTTAAACAAACAAAATTAATGCATTCATTTTGCAAGAGGCCCAACCAAGGAGCATTAGCTAAGATGCAAGAAACAATTATGCTTGATTCAAAGTTTGTAGATAATATTGAGAGGGGATCTACACTGACACGCCTAATGTCTATTCCTGCCCTGTCTTCTCCCCAGCACTGCACCTGCAGGGGCTAACCCCATCCCTTTAATCATGAAAGCAACCTGGCTTTTTGAAGATGGCTCTAAGTCTTATTACAAGGGGCTGCCAGAATTGCTTCTCTTCCTCTTTTTTTTAATTATCAAAAAAATACAAGGAGGGAAGGAGAGAGAGGTAATTTGATTCTCACATGGAGATTGCTTCTGTATGGAGAGTAAGGTATTTACAGCAGCCAGACTGAAGACAGTTATTAAAGTTATATTGCTCATGTCCAGCTGTCACTGTACCTCCCAGAAGGCAATATGTTCTTACAGGACTTCCAGCTGCAGCCTTGCTTTCATATAAAAAGTTAATAAAACTACTGTTTACCTTTTCAGCTTGATTCCACACTTCAATATCTCCCAGGTACTTTTCAGGACGAGTGGAGAGATTTAGTTTAAAGGTAAATCCAAAGACATCATACACAGTACGCAAGAACTGCAGACAACTCTTTATCTCCTCTTCAATCTTCACGAGAATAGAAATAAAGTCTCAAATATGGAAAAATCAGTTAATCTGATTTTAATACCCTATTTCATTTAACAGCAGCCCATACCTGCTCCATAGCACAGAATATGTGAGCATCGTCCTGCTGGAACCGACGTACTCGAGTGAGTCCTGTAAGAGCTCCTGACAGTTCATTGCGATGCAGAACACCAAAATCAGCCAACCGCAATGGCAGCTCACGCCATGATCTTGGACGATGATCAAACATAAGGCTGAAGGAAAAGTTTGTTAGTTGAAGCTCACCCAGAATCAAAATTCCGCAAAGAACAGCCAGTGAGAAGCAGCCAGTACCTAAGCAGACGCCCATAATGCCAATGATGTAATCTGAACACAACCATCACTCTCGACTAGTTTTGTCAGGAAAAAAAAAATTCAGATATCCTTTCATAGCTAGTAGGCTTCCCTCACCTCACAGAGAGAAGACAAAACAGCACCTAAAACTGAGCATTAAAACCTGAAAGCCAAAACTGCCACAAAATTGACCATGCCCCAGTACCTATTTTGGATATCCAGGTTTTGTAGCACCAAAGTAAGCTTCAGGTTTAAAACACCATGACTGTAATGATGGAAAAATTACGTTTCTCAGTGTATCAAGTAAAGAGAGCACACAGACAACAAGACTCATAACTATATTTCTCCTGACAGCGTGTTACATCTGGATACCTGAAGATAGCCATCTTTACAATTAAGCAGGCAAAAGAGACAGGATTTTTTTTTTCCCCCCCAATCAGCATCATCTTTGGTTAACTGGACTTGCTATGTATTTACCAGTGTCCTGGACAGTTCATAGGCTTCAGAGCAAAAATTTCTTTCTCCACTTCAAAGGAAAACATATTGTCACTGTAATGCTGCCAGTGCCCCGAAGTCATCCATAGTTTGCTGTTGAAAACATTTGGAGTGACAACCTCCTGGAATCCACGTTTTCGATACTCATTCTAAAACAACAAACCGAATATGTAAAATAACTAATAAAGCAAACAAAAGTAATGGTATTCAGCCTTCAATCTGAAGCCATAAAACATACAAATGCTACCCTACAAAGTGGAGGCAGGGAGAGCAAGAGAATTCAAGTTGGACATGCCAGGATACACCCCTTCCACCAGCATCACCCTTCCCCTAACAATTCCCCTGTAGTAAGCAAGAACAACAAGTTTCCTCCCTGAGAGCAAAGCAGCAGTCTCTAATTATTCAATGACACTTGGCCGTACATTGAAGCCCAAATATACCATAATAAGACAGACTTTAAATATTGCAACAGGAAGAGCAGGATTTTTTTTTTCTACACATAATTTTATAACAAATAGTTCTACAAGGCCAAATTTAGTAATTTTATTAAAACAAATCAATACGCATCAGTGGAATAGCTATGGTGTGAGCTTAGCTGTACTATTAGATGCCAAAAAATTCATAGTATAAAGCACCATTATCACTGCTTTAACTGCAGGTATAAAGTATTGACAAAAACATAACTCGGCAGAGATTGTGACACGACCAATTCAAAGAAACCAGTTTTCTTTAGTTCTGTGACTTGCAGAACTATGAGATTAAACTAACTTGAAATGAAGGGCTGTTAATACTGTTATATGTAGCATGCTGTTACTTATGTTTCTAAAATGAAGCAATTTCTTCTATAAGAAGATTTCCAAAAGACATTACTTACCCGGATGAATTCAATTAATGTGTTATAAATGTAAGCTCCTTTTGGCAAGAAAAAACAGCTACCAGGGCTGAGCTCATGGAAGAAAAACAGTTCTTGGTCCTGCAGAAGAATAACATTTGAAAAACTCAGTATCTGCACACCAGCTTTTTCACTTAACATTCACAAATTAATTAGTACTGACTGGGCATCACTAATCAAAGTTTTAAAAAAAAATTTAAAAAGCAATACCAATAGATCATATACATTTTCACTAGTATTTATATCGACATCAGTACTTATAGCAGGAGATTGTTCCGTTTCCAGTTTCATTACTGATGCTCCAAAACTTCACGTTTATTCTGTGGAATAAGCATGTCATCATGTTTAAAACAGTGAAAAATCTAAAGAGAAGTTTTTTGCTGTGGGAATTTTGATGCTCTTTGAGAGAAAATACATTACTTTGCAACTCAGCTGAAAATACAATTATGTCATCTTGGTGTGGCAGCAAGTACACGCTGTCTTCAAGATGCTTCTAGTTAAGGGGTTACATCCACACAGTGTTTGTGAAACACATTACCAGAAAAACTGTCTCACCCGCCCAATTTTTCTGTGATCTCTATTTTTAGCCTCCTCCTGGAATTTCTCCCATTCCTTCAGCATTTTTGCATCAGGGAATGAAATTCCGTAGATCCGCTGGAGGGATTCCATATCAGCCTTGCCTTCCCAATAGGTAGAAGAATTCTGCATACAAAAATAAATGAAACATTGAAGAAAAGGAGGAGCCTCCGCATTTTACTACTACTGCCTACTATGAAAAGGCAAGCAATTATTAATAAATCACTATAATTAATGTAGTAGGACTAAGACAGAAGGAGAGTTTTAATCTTAAATTCACTGATTAGAAAAATCCAGAAAGAACAGGTGAACAAAATATGTAAAAATGGTTTAAAGCTCTCTCTTGTCTTTTTTTTTTTAAGCCTATTTGCTCTCTTAGCCTATAACCATCAGCTGAGCAAAAACTATAAACTCTAACTGATACAATTCAACCAAGCCTTAAGCCACACTCCCATTCCTAACTGTCCTGGAAGTGCAGGCCCTGGACACCTAGCTGGGCTTCACACCATTTGAATATCATTCTAGCACACAACCCTTTCCCAATTTGTTACACTGAGGTTTTGGCCAGGTTACCCATTTCATGGTACATTCTTGGATAAGCCACTGTCATATTACCCAAAGACAGCAACATGTTTTTAGTGAAAACATTTATCTAAGGCAGTTTCGGCACTCACCTTATGAATTTTTATGGTCTTTATCTTGCCAGTATGTCTGACATGAGGCCCTCTGCATAAATCTATCAAGGGACCACACCTAAGAATAGGAAAACATTCATTTGGTATATTTCATCCTAGAAAGATATATCCAGTAATACTATGATAGAAGTGTAACTACCTGTATACTGTTGTAGTTGGAGTATTGACCTTCTCATTCAGGATGCGACACTTGAATTTATTATACTGGAAAGAAAAGCAGCACACATATTTGTTAACTCCTTGTTAAGCAAAAGAACTGGCCATCGGTTTAAGTTATATGCAAACCTGATGCTATGCTGCATCAAAAGAAGATTATAAAAGACAGACAGACAGGAAGATAGTCAAGTAGTGGAGCAAGCTGCCCAGAGAGCAGGGTGTGCAGTCTCCATCCTCAGAGGTTTTGAAGGCCCAACTGGACAAGCCCTCAGAAACCTGGTCTGTACAGAGGCACCTTCCAACCTGAATGACACTATGGTTCTCCTGATGTCCTAACAGTAAAAACTTGAGTGAGGTCTATCTCAG